ACTCTGAAAGCACTTTGCCATGCTCAAGCGAATGCTAATCAGCCATTTAAATGTAAAGCAGCGAGCTAATTGGCTGCATATGAAAAATGAATCAATCAGCTTCTGTCAAGTCGTTTAATGCTAAGAATATCATCAGTTACATTAAGGACCCATCAGCCTGCGCCATCTAGAGTTTCATGACAGAACTTGGTATATACAGTATATATGCATGTGCTCAATCTGATGCTGAGTTCAAGTCCTCCTTGGACGTTTGTACTTACGAGTTGACAAGTCGTAATTACGACGTCAGGTGCGTTCAAGTCAATTTAGTCGGCGCAAGATGGTGGTGTACCTTCTTTTAATAAATTATAAGAAAATACAACAGGGTCTGTTAACTCTGCTTATAGAAAATGAAGAGCAAAGAATTTGCATCAGGTAATATTTTTTTATATTTTTAAAAAGTAATTTATGAAGCCACTTTAATCTGTATCGCATGAAAACTTATTAATTGTTATATTACAATCCTGCCACATTCAAAAAGCTTATTTTTTGTAAATAAAAAGCCTAACAATGTCACTGCTTAATACCTATAAATATTGTGATTTACGTTTTACTTTGGCAATCTTTATAGGACAACTAAACTATCAATTTAAACAAAAATTTACCGTCAACTACAGACGTTGCATCCATCGATTCTGCCATGTTTCTCATTGACACGCCCCCAATTCGGAAACTCTGGGCTTAAAGAAAATTTCGAGTTTCCCGCTCGTAATAACGACTTTGTGGTGGCATTTAACTCATAACCACACGAACGCGGTTATTTTTAAAACCGCAGCTTTTTCTACACGGTTAGGCCGTTCGTCCACACGCTAATGCAGCACCAGTTCACTGAAACCGAACATTTTTGAAAACGCCTGCCAGGGTGAAGATTTTCAAAAACTCGGGTTGCATTGTTATCGTGTAGACAGCAAATTTTTGAGGAGTTTTTGGCTTGTGACGTCGGCGCCTCCGATGATATCTCTGCCTACAGGAAACTTTTTCAGGCTTCTGATTGGCCAACATGGCTTTACGGTTGAGATTATATCGCCACCTGTTGGTTTGGCATGCTCTTGACAGTGCTTCATAGCATACGTTTGCGTTTTCATGTTGACTGAGATTTTTTTTATGTAGCTACAGAGATCATTATTCTAATCCTTTCAGGACACAACAACAGAAGGAAAAACTCAGTTTATAAAAATACCCGTGTACGTGTGGAGACCACTAGTGAAAATGCTTGTTTTGCATTTTTTTCCTAATTTAATAGATGAAAAAATTTTAATATTTAAAAAAAAATTATAAGTTGAGGCAAAAGTTTAATGGAAAATTTATATGAATTAAAGAAAATTAAAATGAATTAATATAATTAAAAAATTTTTAATATGGTTAAATTGAAGAAACTAAATAATTTCTAGGTTAAAACAAAAAAATCCTTGTATAATCTGAAAGTGTGGCAGTTTACATTTGCTTTTTTATTTCAGAAAAGTCAAGAATGTTCACAAACATTTGCAGTTCTCCATAAATAAGAATAAACAGAAAAGCCAAAACACAAAACAAAACATAAAATTGGTTTTAAAGCTGATCAGACACAAAATCGTTCCATCGAAGAATCACACAACGATCCCGCCTTCCTTGCACGATCCACAGTAGATGCTCTAATATATAAAACATGCAATTCATATCAGTATCTAAACTAGCTGATATTGTATTTTCCTGTAACATTTTGAAAATCAGTGATTATATATACTGCTCTAGTGCTTTTCAGTCCCTCAAACAGAAACAAAATAAAAAAATATATTTACAGAACCTGCAATTGAATTATTTTCACTATTATTCAGCAAGTCTATTTTTGATATTTAATAAGCGGTATTGCTCAGTATGTGGAAAAGCAAAAGCAGCAGGTGAAGACAAATAAACCCCCTTATATTTCTATAACAGTCAATTACATTTCTAAGAAAAGAACAAAAAAGTACAGTAGAAGCAAATAATAGTACAAAAATCAAATGGAAAACCAAAATATCACATTAAAGCAATTCCCTTTACATACACCAGTGGAGTTACAGATATTTAGAACCGCAATGAGCACAAAACAGCAGGAAAAGGCACAGTTCCTGTGTCTGTGCTGCTTGCATGAGAAACTGCACTATATATTGCATCTAAAATACTGTACAGATCTCTGCAAAGACAGAGAATTCACAGAGGCAACACTAGAACTTTAGCAAAGCACTGTGGTGTGTTTAATATGTAGTGACCACAGCATCAAGACCCCTGTGAAGAAGTTTAATCAGCTTTCTGAAATGAGTGATAGAGGCATGTGCCACAAAACATAACTGACAGAAAAAGAAAGGCTTCCCTATAGAACTGCATTTATAGAAATAATATCTACCAAATTACTCACTTTTATTTATTTTTTTACATTTTCACATTCATTCAAGTAAAATATCTCATATTTACACAATCAAGCATACACTTTCCCCTCCAAAAAACAACAACAACACACTGTCATTATCATTTCGGTTGTGACTGATTTGTTAACATTAAGAAAACCATTTAGAAAAGCTGTTAACTTTTGAAACACATGAATTGGTGTATACAAATACCGTTAATTATGTAGCTACAGAGATCATTATTCTAATCCTTTCAGGACACAACAAGCTCTATCCTCCTTGCCCTGTGGGTAAATGCATGTGCTCTGCCTCCACATGCTGTAGCAGTGACACAGACAGAACAGAAGAGGGCGACAAAGTGCACAGGCCACTGCATGGCCCCTCTAGTAGTAGAGAGGAGCGGATCGGTCGTCCATGATGCTTGACCTGAGGTAGACCTCCAGGGAACGGTCACTAGATGGAGAGGGGGTGGAGAACAAACACGGTCAGTATGCCCACAACACAGCCCGCGCTAGTGACCCACTGAACTCTACGACACAAAAACAGCTTAAAGTCTAATGCACTTTGATTTGGGATACAGAAGAAAGGTACTGCTGAAAGGCATACGGTGATTCATTTGACATATACTTATGAACAGGTATCTGGAGAAGAGTCTATGAAGGGTGTTTTTGAAGCATGCATGCAAATGGAACAAGACACAGTTACTTCTGTCAGCATTGATAGATGCATGCAAGAGTTAGATTTGGGGTTACCTCCAGCGCCAACACCATTTCCTGGTAACCTATGACCTCTCTGGCTGGTACGAACTACAGCTCACACACAAAAACCAACCAGAGAGGCAGGTGGCGGTATGAGACGAAACAGTTGTGAAGCCCTACTGCCCGTTTAAGCCGAACAGCGAATGAGAGTCGAAAACAAACCAAAACAAAAGAATAAAAGAAAGGGCATGATTGGTTTAGGTGAGCAGCGATGGGAGGCAGGTGACTTACGGAGGTCCTGCAACACTCAGAACCGGGACAATTCAGGACCCAAACTGGAAAGTAAAGAGAGGTCCAGGGGTTTGTACCTGAGAGCTCAGCTCAGACCGAGGTTATGCATGGCTACATTTCCACCGCATTCACATGACTGTTAGTTTTGCGCACGATGGCCGTAGTGTAGGTTACTTGCTCTGTGACATGGCGCTTTGTTTGGACTGCTCATGGATGACGTCACAATTTTATGTTCATAGATGAGTCAATAACGCACTTCTAGAAATGACATGGGTTCAAAATATAGTGCAAAATGAAAGGTCTGCCCATAGCAGTTTGGTTAGGAGTTCCAATTAGTACAGAGATGTGTATGGAAAACAATGAACTCTTGAAGAGCACATTTCAATATCAAATCCTTCACAGTTCTTTATATAAAATGCATGCTTATAATACTGACACGTCTTATACATCTCAAATAGATTAGATCTTAGAAGATAAGAAGAAGAAAAAAGGCGAGCAGGCAAGCACAGACACAAACACATGGACAGGTCACGTATTCATACAGACACGACGTCATGATGCACAAATACACAAACATTACGCTAGATTAAAATTGTGTGCTCTTCAGGTTCAGGTTGGTTAATAGTCAGTCATTTTATTTGTGGACGACCCAGTCCCACGGAATAAGTAGTTCAGGGTGTAAGATTAGCCATTAATGGCCCAAAATTGTTCATACCATATTTATTTGATTTAATTTAAATTTATAGATTTGATCAAATAATGTATCAATAAATAGCACCATAAAATATAAATGAATATCACAATAAAAGTCTTTTCTGTTGAGTTGGCTGTAGATGTGCAGGCACCCATTGAAACTCAATGCAAATAATTGTAAATTCAAGATGACAAATTAAAAATCATCAAAAGCTCATTTGAACAAATGTTTTATTAATATATAGATATTTATTTATTCCTTTCGTAAAAAGTCACCATACATTCAAGGTCAATGTTCACTATGTTCCTCCTCAGCATGCATATTGTGATTGTTACACTGATTTCTTGTGCATTTTTCCTAGTTTGTCTATATTTTACAAGAAAAAAAAAAAAGGAAGAAGAAACAAAAGAACACAGCGAGGACTACACCACAGCTCCAGAGGATCTGTCAGTCAACATCCTAAAACTGCATGGAAACATACTACAACGGGAATGTTTTAAAGACATGGGCTGGTGGCATTTCAGTATGGGCTCAGAATAGGCTCAAATTAATATTCTCACAAAATATGATACATAAATGTGGAACCTGATTGATATTCACAAAATAAAATTAATATATTCACA